TGAGTGGTGGCCCTTAGGGGTCCGTATTGGGACCAGTACTGTTTAATATCTTCATCAATGACATAAACAGTGGGATCGAGTACACCCTCAGCAAGTTTGCAGATGACACCAAGCTGAGTGATGCAGTTGACACGCCTAAGGGACGGGATGCCATCCAGAGGGACCTGGACAAGCTCAAGAAGGGGCCCATGCAAACCTTATGAGATTCAACAAGGCCGAGTGCAAGCTCCTGCACCTGAGCTGGGGCAACCCCCAGTATCAATACAGGCTGGGAGATGAAGGGATTGAGAGAAGCTCTGGGAAGATGGACTTAGGGGTACTGGTGGGTGAAAAACTGCACATGACCCGGCAATGTGCGCTCACAGCCCAGAAAGCCAACCGTATCCTGGGCTGCATCAAAAGCAGTGTGACCAGCAGGACAAGAGAGGTGATTCTGCCCTTCTACTCCACTCTGGTGAGACCCCCCTCTGCAGTACTGCCTTCAGCTCTGGGGTCACCAACACAAGAAGGACATGGACCTGTTGGAGTGGGTCCAGGGGAGGGCCACGAAAATGATCAGAGGGCTGGAGCACCTCTCCTATGAGGAAAGGCTGAGAGAGTTGGGGTTGTTCAGCCTGGAGAAGACTCCAGGGAGACCTTATTGCAGCCTTTCCATACCTGAAGGGGACTTACAAGAAAGATGGGGACAGACTCTTTGCTAGGGACTATTGTGTTAGGACAAGGGGTAATGGTTTTAAACTGAAAGAGAGTAGATTCAGACTAGATATAAGCAAGAAAGTTTTTACAGTGACAGTGGTGAAACACTGGAACAGGTTGCCCAGAGAGGTGGTAGATGCCTCATCCCTGGCAACATTCAAGGTCAGGTCGGACGGGGCTCTGAGCAACTCGGTCAACTTGAAGATGTCCCTGCTCATTGCAGGGGGATTGGACTAGATGGCCTTTCAAGGTCCCTTCCAACCCAAACCATTCTATGATTCTATGATATATGTATATGTACGTGTGTGTATCATTGCTTCAGGAAGGCTAAAAGAGGTGAATGAGTGGAGAACAATATGAAAGTCTTCATACCACGTTGTCTGTTGAGCGTCAGGAACCAACCTGTTCCCTGCACATTTTTACTGAGCCTTGCTAGGATAAACATAGGGACTATATAGGATGTACTAGGAAATGGTAAATGAATTATTTAGAAAATTACCAAGAAAAGCAGAAGGCTTTTTGTCTTTTCATGCATAGAAATCAGGACTGGATGGTGGTCTGCAAGATCTATGTTAGCCAAACACAAACTACTAGACTTAATAGAAGGAAACAGCTGGGTGAGATATTTGGACTGTGGTCCAGTTAGTGACATCATTACTGTCTTCAGCCAGAAGACTGGCCTTTTCTGGGATTTAAAAGGAAAGCTAGGCTCTTGTGCAGGCACTGCCTTTGCAAAATCCTTACCCATTGATTCAGAAAAAGATGCCAGAATCTTCAAAATGCCTAATTTCCCTGGTGGAAAACAAAATGCAAGTTTCATGTAGCTGCGAGAGTGGTTTCTTTGCAAGTTAGTGTCTAATTCTTTATTTCTAGGCAAAGATTTTGATTTTTCCATTATCATGACTTTTCTGACAGTTGGCAAAGAAAACGCCTGATGGCCTCTCAACAAATCACATTGTTCCTGATTAACTCTGAATGTGTTTACTGCAGAGCAGGAGCAGCGTGTTCCATGTTAGCCTGTTCCATGCTACGCAGGAGGAAGGCATTTCTATTTGGAGCGAGAGCTGTTAATTAGGAGCAACTCCTGTTTAGACAAGCCCCCAAGAAAACTGTTCCAGCACGCATGCTTTTAAATACAGACTGCCTTTACTTGTTGTAAGCATAAAAGAGCCATGGATATCAATTGTAAATATTAAAGGGTTGCATATGCCTGTTACAGTTCACAGGCAATTGCTCAAACACTTTAGTCCCACGTTATTTTCTGCAGATAGGGGAGACTGTGGTCCCAAGTGCAAAATCTGGCAGGTAATCTTGAATAATACATAAATTACATTGTTTTCTGGTGTTAAGCTATTAAGTTGTAGAAAGAAGGACAACTTTTCAAAAACTTGTTGAACCAAGGTGTCCCCCCATCACCCCTTGTTGTTCGCCCTCTCTCTTCTCCCCCTTCTCCCCTCAAACTGGCCGGGGTTTGTCAGTAAGCTAATTCTCCTAAGCAGCTCTTGAGAAAAACTTTTTCTAGTGAGAGAGATATGACTGGTGTCAAGTTAGGTCTTTTCCTGTCACCATGCAGACTAGCCGACGAAAAGTGATTAACATCACTTAAAGGGAAAGCATCAAGGTCTTTTGATGACAAGCCTGTTTCCCAGTTACAAGGGATAAAGAATTTACCACTTCACTTGAGCGTTGGTTCCAGTGTATAATTGCATTCACTGCTATGTTTTTTTCCTTTTTATCCCATTTGATTTGGCTCCTGATAAATATTTCTGAACACAGACACCCTTTTAGAATTCCTGCCTAAACTTCTGTTTTGCATACTGCAACGTATACTTAATAACTTTACCTGAAGCTTTGATATTTGTACTTTACACTAGGTACAATTTCAATTTATTGAGCTACTTCTCGTCCATACAGTTTGGTTTTTAGCAGGTCTGTAGACATGAGGGAGCCCTGAGAGAGAGAACAGCGTACACCCCCAGGGAGAAAATCTGAATTCCTTTTCTGTTCTTTCTTCCAAATAAATTAGCCTGGACATAATCTAGTATGGATACAATTGCTGTATATTTCAGAAAAAGTTCCCACTTCCATCTGGAAATTGTGGATAAATTTAGTTTTACAGGTTTCTTGAGGCTGATGTGGTCATGCCCTGTTTGACTTAATGATTTTGTAACCTCTCAGCAAATTTGGATCCCTTTTAGCAAGTGGGTGGAGATAATTAAGATAATGACATTTCTATGAGTTTTATGAATATAGGCAAGAAGGTATACAGAGAGACCCTATAAATGCTTCGAGTGAGGTAAAAGGTTGTAGTGGGAACCTGTGTCTTTTGACATGACAAAAAACTTGACACATTTATAAGCCCACTTTCCTTATGCAGGAAAGCCTTCAGTGAGAATTTAAGACATAAATACTCATTTCTGGGGCTCTTGGCTACTGGCTTGTTTCTGGAATGCCAGACCAGTCCTGGCACACTCCTACACCATATTTGGACAAAGAATTTTGTAGAGGGGGGTTTCCCTCTTGTATCAGATGAACTCCATCCGTTCAGACTTAGACTGATGACCGAAAGCTGGGTCAAGCTGTCTGCATATGTATTATACGCTCTTTCCTTAGTTCTGTTCTTGCAGATTACTGTGCGATATTAGACTGGATGAACATTAACAGAACCTGGAATATATTTTAAACATAAAGCTCCATCAGACATGCTGATAATTGCATGTTCTATAATTAAAACTGTGTAGGCTTTTCTTTCTAAGTATGGCAACAGCTGTTAGAGCACATCTGGAAAATATGCTTTCAGCAAAGGTATTTTAGCTCAGAGAATTTCACAATGCATGGGATATTTACCAGCACTTCTTTCCAGAATACTAATATGATTTATCGGTATTTTTAATAGAAAAGTCTTCATTTTTTAATGATGTTTGCAAAGCTTGTTTTGAAGTCATATCACAGATTGGCCATTCCAGTGTAGTTCAAGGGTAAATGCTGCAAAACAAAAACATTGTTCTGCTACTATTTTTAGGTAGAAGCCTACATAAGCCTTGTCTAATGCCCTAATAATATTTTCTTCACTGATTTCAGCCAAATATTTTCCCTTTCTTTGATTCTAAAGAGAAATAATTGTTTCATAGTGAAATCACATTGAGAGGAAAATTGGTTGGACTCCTGCTCTGTGCTTCTTGAGGCTCATGTTAACACCCTTCTGCACTATCTCCCTCTCTAGAAAATAGAGATAGTTTAACCCCGTACAATTATTTATTATAGCATTACTCAGAAGTTCTTTGAAGTCAGTGAGAATGTTTACAAGGTAGGATCCTGGCCACTTGGAAATGAACGGCAATATTTCTGTTTGTGATAGGAGCCTAAGCATTGTGGTTTCTATGCTTTCTTCAGAACTGTTGTATAGACATGGCACTACAAAACCAGAATTATTAAAATTTTTAATTAAAATGGAAACAAGAAAGCAGAAAACTTTAAAAAAAAATAAAAAACCTCTATCCATGAATTTATTGATAATGATGTTATTCATTTTGCTTATTTGGAAAAAAACAACTAAAATAAAGATGCAGAACCCCAGAACCTTGACTGACAAGATAATACTCTAATCAGGATCTTGCATTCTGACCCAAGCATCCCCAAACCAGCCAACCAACTCGCTTTCAAGGTGATGGGGGAGATTTTGCAGATAGATAGCATTCACCAACAGTTCCCCAAGTGAGAAATCAGTTCTTCTTTATTTGGAGTAGGAGGCAACTTTTTTATGCTAGATAACCTTGTGTTGGAACAGCTTTGAGCCTAAATTTTAAATCATAAATTCTATGCTTGTTGTGCAGCTGGAGGCAAAATGCAGTTACCCAACCAAGGCAGAAACTACATCTAAAAAAGTGGATGAGTTGATTAAAAAAAAAAATCTATAGCAGTGTTACCACAAAATAAAAGAGTAACATGGAATGTATTTGTGGTAATGTTGGAAGATTAATTCCAAATTATTGACAGTTTAATTGACCTACAGGAAGTAGGGCTTAGTATGCTGTGCTGCTCTTCACGTTTTAATCTTTTCCACTGGGTAGAAAACCACTTTTTCCAAGTATTGGGTTTAAAGTTGTAACAAATGGTTGCTGTGGGTTGCCTGGTGGTCAGACAACAGTGCTGGACTTGTGACCAAGTCTCTTCCTCTTCCATGCAACACTTGCAAAGCTCATCCTGTGAGCAGGGCTTGGATGCATCTTCTCCACTCTTGTCCCAACCTTGCTAGTTACAAAAGCTCTTTATATGTGATATTCATGTGATGATTTGACCCCCAGGCTCCGACTGCATGAAGAAAAGGTCATTAAAGATCGACGTCACCACCTGAAGACATACCCGAACTGCTTTGTTGCCAAAGAGCTGATCGACTGGCTGATTGACCATAAAGAGGCCTCAGACCGAGAAACGGCAATTAAACTAGTGCAGAAATTATTGGATCACAGCATTATCCACCATGGTAAGTGTAATATCAGCTACTAAAAAGTTCTAAGCTAAATTTTATTGACTGCTGTGAAACAGAGAAATCCTGCTCCTGCTCTTCAACAAAGTGTAGGACAGGTAGGATCCTTTCCCTGCCAGAAAGGGAGCATCTCCCTTGAACTGTGCTGCTCCACAAGGTCCCTTGTGTCCTGAGGGACACGTAGAGGCTGAAGAGGTGTGGAGTGACATTCCCCGTCTCAGTACTGGAGGGGGAGTCACTGGAGACTGTGCTGCTGCTTCCCTGCCTCGAGAGCAGCCCCAGATGGATCCTGTCCCCTCTCTCCATGCTGCCCTCACCTCCCTGCTCCCTAGAGCACAGTTTTCCAGCTGAAAAACCCATCTGAAAACTCAGCTGGCAAATAAAGGTCATTTTTCTCATGTGGATTAGTTCTCTGGCCCTGTCCCTCACACCAGCTGCAAAAACATTAGTGCTGGTACAGCTGCAAGGAAATTAGTGGTCCGACTGTGCCCAGATTAACTTTCTCCTAAACTTGTTGTCTATTTGAGATCTGTTCCTTTCAGCTTCTTGACTAAAACAGCTTACACTGATGAAAAGGAGAATTCCAATTCAGTGGTAGCATTTAGCTGCCTTCTGGTGCACAAAAAAGCTAAGAAGCATACAAACAAAGAAGATCCAAGCCCTTGATTTCAAACATATAGTATTACTCATTTCAAAAAGGCAAAATGTAGCATTTGTTTCTTTTTTAAGAGAAAACTGAGCAACTGCGAACAGACAAGTGTTGAGTTTATGCAGGGGTCACTGTATGTAATACTGCTGCTATCTGCAATACATTAACAACACCTTAAAGTAAGAAATGCACTTACTGAATGCGTGCCATTTCTACAGCTTCTGCTTGGCTATTAAATGAAAATTCTGGGTTGTTATGGAAACTGGGACTCACGGTAGATAGTTAAAGAATAAAGTAATTTTAGGGTATTCAAATCTGACTACTTAATTCTCTATTGAGAAAATGTCAGTGAAGAGTTGCGTGGATGCCTGAGTGACTTAATTTAATTGAGCAAAAGATGTTTTATAGCCGAATCCTTGTTTAAAGCTTTACCAACCTTCAAATGTTTTCTACCTCAGGATCCAATTGCACACTGTAACTTCCATACAAATTTTATGTATATAGGTGTGTATATATCACACAAAGAGCAGGTGTTGAAAATGTTAATATATTGCACTCAAATTTAATAAAATACTTTGCAAAGTGAGCTAGGGTAAATTCAGAGGGTTTCAATCAGGTTCTGCAGGATGCTCAGAGCATCCTTTCAACTCCCATGTCAAGTGAAAGGGGTACCAGTTCCTGCTCCTGTGGTGCAGAAGTTGAGCCCATGTATGTGGGCTGACAACTCTGCTAAGAGCAGCTTGATTGGGATATCTTTCCCATTAATTTATGCCCTTGCTGGAGCTCTGCTTTGCATTTACAAGAGCCCATCATCAGCTGCTGTCCTGTAAACCTTATTTAGCATTTCTCAATGTGCTCCTGTTGTACCTACCATTCGCTAGCTGGCATGGCAGAGCAGTTGAGATTATTTTAAGAGGGCAGAAGGCTTTGATTTTAACTGTTTCTGCAGCAAGTCTCACTTTTTCTACAGCACTGCTTAACTGATACACTGAACTTTAAGAAGTTTACCAATCCTTACATTATTGGGTGTTCTACACTGGTGGCCTTTTAAGCAAACAAGCTGACAGTCTGTTTTCATCAAAAGGTTTTCCAGGTGTATAGCAGATGGATGCTTTTTTCTCTTTATGTTCGCAGTAATATTCACAAAACTGATGAACACCTATCCCCGCTCACCTAGAAATCTGGTTACCTATCTGAAAGTTTTCTCCAGCCTTTCATCAGTTACTAGAACTGAATAAAGTTGTATGCTCAAAAACACAGGGGGTTAGGCTCCATAGACAATTGCTTTGAAGTTCAGCAGCAGTACCTGCTAAATGGATCCTCAACTCCTTAGCATGTATATGAAGAATTTTTTTTGTTATTTTATGTTTCAGTTTGTGATGAGCATAAGGAATTCAAGGATGTCAAACTGTTCTACCGCTTCCGAAAAGACGACGGGACGTTTCCACTGGACAATGAGGTGAAGGTGTTCATGAGAGGACAAAGACTGTATGAAAAGTATGTTGCATTCAGTATCCGTAATGCCTTGATAATAGTACCATGGGAGGCAAATGATACTTGTTAGTCTATTTTTGAATAGTCAGAGGCTTTCAAATCGTGCAGGAATGGGTCAGAGCAATCCCATGACTTTAGTTTGTAACCCTTCTTTCTCTTTCCCATTTCTCTTTTGCTCTTCTACCATGTTTGCTTGTAGCATTTTATTTAAAATGAAATAGCATTTTCTGATGTTTTGGGTTGAAAATACATTGTATATGAGAACCCAATGTAAATTTAAGCCCTTGCACTCTATTCTGTAAAAATAATGACTAAAGGATGATTTGTCATGTAAAACTGTAATCACAAGACCTAAAATGTTAGTACATCAAAATGCACTGAAGAAGTGGCTACATATCTGTTGTGACTCCATATCCACAGCTTCACCAGGAGGTGTGATTTTAAATAATAGGTGAAATTAATCTCAGTCTGCAAGTTCCAGTCTGCAAAGCTTCTATATCAGAAAGGTTATGTTAAAAGTGGTTTGAAAAAACCAAACAGCCAAGAGCATCTAATTAAGATTTGAAACAGATGATTATGCTGAGATACTGAATATCCCATGGGGTTACTTCAATCAAATAACTAGGCAGCTTAACTATACTTCCCAATCTATAATTAATGACATTTTTGTTCAGGATGTAGAGACTGTGATGCAGTACTTTGAAGCAGAGTGAATAAAATGCATGTTGGCATATGCTACAAACTTAATGCAAAAGTTGTGATATGTTATTTACCAAAAAGCTTGAAGTAGGGCTCCAGACAGAATCCCATCCACTCTCCTGCTTGGTTAGAGCAGAAGCATGCAGCAGCCGGGAGAGATGTTGTGTCTTCTGGCTGGAGTAATTTTGTTTCCCTCTTAGAATAAAGCACTCAGGATAATCCCAAGTTTAAAAGCTGATGATAAATATTGTTTTCAAGGTTAGAAGGCTCTGAAGGTCAATTTGGTGAAAGAGCAATTAAACTGAAATGTAAACCAATAATTGTAAATGCCACTCCTTTTGTTGCACCCATCCTATAAAATCCCTGAGACTCAGTGATTGTGACTACTTAAAGTAAAAAAAAAATAATTGTATAAGACATGAGAAAATACGCCACTGGAAAAAATCCTTCATTGGATGCAGTGGGACCGATGAATTGAATCACTCATCTCCAAAATCTCCTGTGCCTTAGCATAGCATTTGCTCCTTTAGACTCTGTAACACGCAGTGCCTGCACGCCTGGCCCATGCTACGAAAAGCCAATCGGTGTGTCTACAGCAGAAACCCTTTTTTTCTATTTGTTTTTCTCGTGATTGACCCCCAGCCAGCAACTAAGTACCATGCAGCCGCTTGCTCTCTCCCCCCTCCCCGGTGGGATAGGGAGGAGAATCGGAAAAAAGGTAAAACCTGTGGCTTGAGATAAAAACAGTTTAATAATTGAAATAAAATAAAATATAATAAAAACAATAATATAATAATTGTAATGAAAAAGGAGACAACAAAAAGAGAGAGAGAAATAAACCCGAGAAAGACAAGTGATGCACAATACAATTGCTCACCACACACTGACCGATGCCCGTCCCGTCCCTGAGCAGCAATCGGCCCCTCCCAGCCAACTCCCCCCCGTTTACATACTGGCCATGATGTTCTATGATATGGAATATCCCTTGGGCTAGTTCAGGTCATCTGTCCTGGCTATGATCCCTACCAGCTTCTTGTGCACCTCCTTGTTGGCAGAGCATGGGAAGCTCAAAAGTCCTTGACTTAGAGTAAGCATTTCTTAGCAACAACTAAAACGTCAGTGTGTTATCAACATTATTTTCGTACTAAATCCAAAACACAGCACTGTACCAGCTAATAGGAAGAAAATTAATTCTATCCTAGCTGAAACCAAGACAATTTTCTATATTTCTATTTCGATTCTTCTGTGAGCAAAATAATTTTTTGTTGGTGACACTGATAACTGTCCTCTGCATGAAAGGAGCCATGGTGGGAAGAACTCTGTTCTGCCAATGTCTGCTTCCATCTCCATTTCTCTGTGTGAATAACTATCTCCAAACCAATGTCTAGTGTCCAGTTTGTCCAACACTGTACTAGCAGAAAAATGTTCATAACAGTATAGATTGTTCCCATCTTGGAAAAGGAGTTAATGCCAAAAGCAGCACCCATATCTAAATCTAACTGCATCCTCATGAGCTGTTTGCTTGTAGGTGACGTATCTAAAGGGTTCAGAAACTTTTAAAACCAGCCCTGAGTGCTAAATGTAGTGTAGATTAAAAATACATGGCATTTCAAAACCAGTCTGTGACAGTGAAAGCTAGCCAAAATTCTCCACGGATCATTGGAAATATTTCATATTCATGGGAGATAAGAATGCATACCTGGGCTATCTGGGCTTCACTTTGTTTATTGTAGCAAATCCAGTGTGCAGAGCACTTGGATTTTTTTAGGCCCCTTGTCCATGCATGCTTATTAGCAGCACCTTCACAGCTTCATTGCATGCATTTTAAACTCAAAATCTAATAGTGAAAGTCAGACTACTACAGAAAGAGTTCTGCAATGAAATATGTGTATGTGTGATGTATCTGTTGTATCAGTTTGCTTATAGTGTTGAGAAAGAAAATATTAATTCAGTGCAATTAAAATAGTTATTAAATGGCAACCACTGGAGAAAAGTATTCGTGCATAGATGTGGAGTCACTTACCAGTGTATTCAACTTGTTTATCAAAATGCCTGTAGGCCTAATTTCAATAGAAATTAAACTATGCCAAAGGAAATCTATCTGAATCCAACATATTTTTAAAATCTGTGTCTAATTTTGTAGATGTTGCTGATCTACATTAGGCTTTGCTAGTTTAAGATAGACATTATACTAATATTTCCTCCTCTTCTCCACCCACTGCATTAGGGCTGGAGTACCATTACATTCAGAAGTCACTGTAGTTTGTGCTTGCCAAAAATTGCAGACATGTTATGCAACATCAGTCTATGCAGATTGGTACCCTCAATGGGTAAAATAAGCAAAATGCTTTAGGAGGATCAGCAGGTTGTTGCACGGGCAGAGGAGTGGATGTGTTGGGCAGGTTCCCTGCATGCCGACAGCTGTTTTGGGTAAATGCCCCGTCCTCTGCCCTGGGACGTGGGAACATTAGATCTGTCCCCATGGTGAGGAGCTCCCTTTCCCTGTCTGCCTTCTGTGTGATCACAAAGCTTATGTACCCTGGACTCTCCTCTCTTGTGGCATTACCTCCAACTGTGGACATCTTTGGTGGCTGTACTTGTGCCATTAGAAGATTTAAAATCAGTCTCTGACTGTATTCTCTCTTCATTTGCACCAAAAATTATAAATCAGAGCAGATTCCCTGCACATCATTGCAAACTTTGGTAATCCTTTCTGTGAACATGCTTTGAGTTTCAAGTTTATAACTAGAGATGAAACCTACTAGTTTTCCTACAGCTCTGTCTGAAAATTGTTGAATAGTTTATTAGATCCAAAGGTGGTATCAGTTTTCATACTGTACAGGACTGACCAAATAGATTGAATGAGATAAACATGTTCCCTGTTCAACAAAACCCTCCCAGCAAATCTTAAATAAATCCAGCACAGACCTTTCATAGCTTTAAAAAAAAGAACAAAGAAATCAAGTTGTGCAGGTATCCTATTTTTATGATGTTTGCAATTCTCTGTAGGTTTTGGTCAGGCACATGGGATTGTTGTGTTTCTGGTGCAGTTGAGTTTAGGAACTATAAGTCATCTCATGACGTTACTTCAACTGAGCTTTTTCAACCAGATTTCACAGTGAAAGAAGTGCAGATTTATGGTTTTAATTTCAGGAAATCATTCAGATAATTTTGAGACTGCGTTCTTTGAATCACTTTCATTTTAACTCATCAGTGGTTAATTCAAATTTATCCTCTGGTGCAGTTATTTAGATAAAACAAGGTTAAGATTTTCTTTTGAAAAGGGTTTGAATTTCAGTGTTTGGCTAACTCCATTCCCTTCATGCAGGGTAACACCAGTTGTGGCAAATATTATGTTTGAATGGCCTCATGTGTTTTTGAAACAAGGAGAAAATGGAAGAGATAGAGGCAGTTTTCGATTCTGGCTAATGAAAGGCCAGGTTTTTGGCTGATGTAAATTGGTACGGCTTTGTTGACAGCCGTGGAGTTACAGTGATTTATTTCAGTTAGTGATGTAAGTCTATGGATTGCTGTTTCTGGGTTTGTTAAACTGTCAGTTTGTCATGTCTGTTTGTTCACAATTCCAAATCCTTTGCAGTGTTGTTCTGGGCGCATGCAGAAGGGTGTGAAATGTCAAGCTGAGTGTTTTTGCACTTGATATTTTTCCAAATTTCTTTTGTGTCTCTGTAAAAATCTAACGATTAGCATCTCTTTTTCAAGGGCCTCTCTATCTGTGATTTCAATGAGCTAGTCAAGTAATTATAGACTTATCAAATAACAACTAACACAATCTTAAGGATTTTTTATTTGGTGCCCGCAGAGCCTGAGTAACCAATTCTGGGTAACCGTGAAGCAGATGGTGCAAAAAGACACGAGCTTTAGGTTTGGGTTTTTTTTTCTGGGGGGAAAAAAACCTGGTGACTGAGACACATTTAAAGATGGTCCCTCGGAGGTCTGTCTGTATTAGATGTGGTTAGCATGGGACAAAATGTTCCTGTGCACGCAGATGCTTGTAAATCAAAACATGAAAAAGAATAAAGTCTTTGCAAGAGTTCTGGAGTCAATACCTTGTCCCCTGTGGCACATGCGCTTGCTTTTGGCCTCATCCCTGACTTCAGCTAATTTGACTTAGTTCTTACTCGGCTCATAGGTGCTGGCAATGACGCACCAACATCTAAACGAGCAGTTCATTAAGTCTGCCACTGACATACAGCTGTGGTTGAGCAGCCTTTGCCTGGTTTGATGATCTGCTGCCTGGTGGTCAGATCCAGTCAGTTCAGGCTTCTGGTTTGCTCTCCTTAAAGTCAGGGGAATAAGTCTTTCAGATGAAATAACAGGGGCTGGATGTTGTCAAACCTCTTCATTGTAATTTCAAATGAAACTTCTCTCTATGTTCTTATGGCACAGATTTTTCTGTTGTCTCCCAAAGGAGGTGAAATTATATTCTGTGAACTCTGGACATACTGTCAGTTTAAGAAGGAGATGGCCCACGTATGGATTTACATGAAATTCAATTTTTTTATCAGAAGGGCAAAGATTAAGCACTTCCAGAATATTCCTGTTGCAGTTCAGTTGTGCCCTTAATTTCAAAATAGTTGGTGAAGGGAGGGAACTTATTAATCTTACATGGAAAAAATATCCATGCCATTCTTGAGCTCTTATTCTGAAATTCTTAGCACTAGTCCTATTATTAGCCTATAATAAATAAAATAATTATGAATAAAAATGAAATTAGTAAATAAGGAGGCTATGGTGCACAGTTTCCCCCCAAAAAAAATAAATAAAGTGGGTTTCTGTATTGAAAAGGAGTGATTCTCATTTCTTCTTTCAAACTGTCTTCTCTTTCAAACTGTCAACCTTACTTTCACATTAACAAAATACTGAGGCTTTTTTTTGTCTTTTTTTTTAATAATATGTAATTTGCATAGGTTACTTGAGTGGAGAAGACTTTTATTCGTATCTTCACGCTAGGTACATGTCAATTGCTAGGAGATTTAGAGACACCTCGTGCTGTCCTCTGAACTCAGGTGTTACATGGAGCCAGCTGAGGCACAGAGACCCTGAGACTCAGATGTTAAAACATGCTCAGGTGTGTAACTTACTGATTGCACCTGCATCGATAAGTATTGGATGCTAAATATTTATCATCAACCACCCAAACCACAGAACTACCTTTTTTTCTTTCTCTTGAATTTTTCTGCAGCAGTTTTAGAGCTTACAGAGAGAATTTTCAAAACCATCTAAATGATTTTGGGGCATAGTCCTGCTAACTGTAAAAATTAATTAGGAATTTTTGAACACGGTACTCACAATCTGGTGCTTCTAGGCTTATTTTATTTCAAAATTGATTATACAGTAACTTATAGAGAAGCTAAAGAACTAAAAAAGGGAAATGGAAGCTGAAAAATCCTGTTTTCTTTTAGGGGAAAAACAAGAAAGCATTAACTTCACACAGAGATAGAAAGCCTAAATTTCTTGACTAAGCAATTATAATTCACATCCTAAGTTTAGATTGATAGCTTGAGGAAAGTTGTAGTAAGTCAGTGAAAAGTTCATGTATGTTTACTTAATATCAGTGAGATTTACCAGAATAGAACTGGAGTTGCTTTCGTGAAGAACCTTTTTCCCTATCAATTTTTTTCTGGCCATACCAGGCTGATGAGTTCTGAAAATACTCTTCTGCAAGCCAGGGAAGAGGAAGGAGTCAAGTACGAACGGACCTTCGTGGCATCGGAATTCATTGACTGGCTGATTCAGGAAGGAGAGGCCACGACACGGACTGAAGCAGAGCAGCTCGGCCGCAGGCTTTTGGAGCATGGGATTATACAGCACGGTGAGAAATTTACTGCTAGGTATCAAAAGATGCACTTTTTGTAGCACTTTCCTCAGGTTAAATCATGTGGAGGGGCTCTTGTCTTCTTGATCATAATATGTCTAAGTTCTAAATAATTTCAGGTAGGAGTCTAGGTAACTTTATTTAATAAAAGGGTGGCTTTTTCAAAAGCTCATTGTATTTGTTCTGAAAATTCTGCCTCAAATGCAGAATACAGCTAGAATTTGGGATTGTATGATAGCAACGTAAGGATGTGGATGAAAATCAATGCTCCTACGCTTGTGGTAATTAACTTGTAGAATTTGTTATCAGTGATACGTATAATTGAAGTAAATAGCTTTGTAAGGATCAGGTAGGGATTAGAGCCATAAATAAGCTCAATTGTCTGTGTAGAATAAAAATGACAAGTTCTGTATCTTCCTACTTGAGGACAGGAGCAGAGCACCACCTGATGCCAGAAAAGCAGCTTTCCCTCTTGGTCATGTTGCAGAGTTATTCTAGTATGTTTGGGCAAGAAAGAGAGTATCACTTTCAGCTGAAGTGTTATTGTATTTGTCCTGGTGGCATAACTTTGAGGCAGGAATGAAATATTTCTTCATGGTCCATCACAACATGTCTGGCAGATGCACCTTCACCAAGGAGCTCCCTCTCTGAAGGGTGGAGGAGGCAGAGTTTTCTCTCTGTACTGCCCTGAGGGTGAAGAAATGAACACCCCTGCCACTAAAAACTGTTTTACATGTTGTTGTCAGGTACTTTTAGTGCAAGTTGCCCTTCTGTGACCAGGCGTTTTCCACCATAAACATGTTGCAGGGCTTCTGAGCGTGATGAAGGGGTGCCAGGAGATGACAGAACAAGCTGGCAAAAGCTGTTAGCTACGTTGCTTAATGCACAACAGGAAAGTGATCAGATCCTGGTGATCTGAATGTTGTCACATCAACACTAATTCTGACAGAGAACAAGCAATTCATGATATTAACAGGTTGTTAATATACAAGGTGCTAGATTGACTAGGTTGCTTGTTGCTTTGTGAGGAAACCTCGTTTTAAGGAATAGAGAAAAATGGGAGTATAAGTGACCTACACAGTTCCTTTGTGGTTGTAATCATGCTCACATTATCTTTACCTTCCAATTACTAGGAGCTACTTCTGAATGTTTACAGTAATCAGCTTCCAGTTCTATAATTACCCCTCTGCTTCCTATGATTTATAGGGTGCCAACTGCTTGGAGCTTGACAGACAGGGAAGGTGTGCCACCCCTCCTCTTTATAGCAGCAATGATTTAATTCCTATTTTTACCTGAGCATTTTCTGTGTATTATATACGAGGTAAACTTTCCTTAAAAAAATATGAAGAAAAGAAAAAAAAAAAAGACAGAAGTGAGATTTACGCTGCTATTGATGTTTTTGCAGAGGAAGTGAAGTCAGGCCTTGACATTTGGTGCAAAGCTGGATTTACTTTGCTATTGAAATCTTTGCAGAGCTAAGAAAGTCAGGATGTGGCTTTTATTGCAGATCAACCTTTGTTTCATTAACTAAGGCAAATGTTGAGCAGTGCACCTTGGCAGGGAAATAATTTTGCCCCCGTCAAGCTGGGTTTCTGGGGGGAATTCCCGAGTGACGCTGGCCCTGCTCACCTTTATGGATTGCCCTGGCCAGTTTTGCAGATTTATCCCCTGCCCATCCTCTTCTAGCAGCCAAGAGTGCAAGCAAAGTGCTCTCTTAGAAAGAGATTTGAAACTCATGAAGTGACCACAAAAGGAGCTCTGCGAATTAGTTGACTGCTGAGGAAGCGGCCCTCTCACTCCAAGGTACCGTCATCTTCCTTGCTCAGATTTTATTGGGGCAAAGGTAACTCAGTGCGGATTTCATGCTGCCTTGATGGAGAAGCTGGGAGTAAAATAAAACCCAATGATGTCCTTGAGATTTATCTTTACCAATAGACATGCTTTGTGCATGCTTCTAAGCAGGAGATGTCATTCTCCTCTGGATTTCACTGAAACAATTTGTCTAGATAGTGTTAGGAATATTGATGAAAGTACTAGCAGAATTAACACAGAGTTGGTTTGGGGTTCGCCTTAGAAAGTGGGTATGATCTGTGCATTTCGAAGGTTTATGTAATGCTGGCTTCCTCTAAGAAAAGAGGTCGAAATCAGAAGTCCCAGTACAGAATTGGGGATATAAACTGTAAAACGACAGAAGTGGTATTCTCTTTTTCCCCCCCCATCTCACTGAATTCTAGGCCTAATTAAAAAAAAAGAAAAGATACTATTCTCTCTAAGTACAGTAAATTCATTTCACCATATTATGCTCCCTTTGTTTTGTATCTGGTCGGCAGTACCAAAATGTTACTTGACACTAATTGGCATCCTTGTTGGCAGAACCAGCAGAAAGACTCTTGACTGAACAGGAGTGAAGAATAAAACATTTTCCTGGCCTAAAGGCAGTCTTTTGCTAGCATTATTGTTTGATATCCACAATATGGAATAAAATAAAGCTTGCTTTACTATTCTTATGAAGTATTTATTACCTTTACCTAATGCAGTAGAAAGCAATAGAAATAGTTGCATCAAGTTGCCAATCTCAGTAGTCATTTTCCAGCCACAACTGAATCGTGCAATTTATTTTTACTAATACTGACTTTCATTGCAATTACTCAGAGAAGCTCTATTCTGCAGCTGAGGTACTGTATTCAAAACAGCTTCCTGACACATTTATCTTCACTTTAATTGGTCAGACACAAACCAGGTTTCACACAGGAAACAGACACTGATGCTAATTTTAAAGAGGAAAACAGCAGTTTAAGAAGAATTATATAAATGCTGTAAAAACATAAAATGTTTCGGTTTAAAAATAATCTTCCTGATCTCTTTGGGCATATATAACTATATGTATTTCCCCTGCCATACATGAAAATGATGAAACGTGCTTAAGTGCTGAATTGCTTCCTTCCAAAATCCCACTGGCGCATACAAATCGTAACCCACAAACCACCGTTTTCACAAATAGGAGCCAGATGTCCTTTCCTAGGGACTGGTACCTCCAGGTACTACGGAAGCCAAAAGATATGTAGGCAGCAGGGTATTATGCACTGTACATTTCTTGAAGGCTTGCTTTGGCAGTGTAATTGCCAGTAGTTATTCTGCGTTTGTGAACACTGATGGTCTTCGCCAGAATCTAGGAATAAAGATTGTGCAATGAATTATAAACATGGTGATGCGCATTCAATAAGGGCAGGGACAAAAGGCGCCCAGAACACATTTCTCAGCTGTAGAAAAGCCCATTTCTAGTATAGCAAGGTAGGTAGAGCTTTGTAATATGAACAGATAAGACTTTCCTCCAGGAGACTGGATCTTTCCTAATTCTTCTTCATATGGAAATGGTGAGACAGATTAGCTACTGTGGTCAAAATTCACGTGCAGCAAGAGAAGAGGAAAGTTCTCTCCCAGCTCTAGGGTAGATCAGACCACAGCGAGGATGGGCTCAGGGCAGGCAGAGGACAGCATGAGCATCCAGACACAGTCACAGCCCTTGCTCAGTCTGGAAAACAGAGATACTGAGATGTCCACTGAGGAAGGAGGATATTCACAGAGCTCTTTCGGCTACCATTTTTTGGTTCATACTTGCTTATGGCATTTGCTGCGGCACGAACCCTGCACCTGCAGCCCCAGCAGCACAGCACCGCTGACATGACAGTCCTCCTGTCCTCCTCCAAGGACTCGTTGGGTATGGAAGCTGGGGGGATGAAGAAACATTTGCCTCCCTTGCAGAAAGGTTTAAGGTCTGGAATCTCAAGTGATAAATATTTTCCATTTTAAAATTTGGTTAATACTGTTAAGAAGAACCTGTGCCTTCTTAGGACAGGAAATCTGCATTTCTTCTGTGGCAGCAACCAAACCATAGCACATCTAGAAATACTCTTCAATATGTTGTGGAGTTTAAAGACGCAGTGATTGCCCTGCACCTCAGACAGTATGGCCTGTGCCGCTCCCAGTCGAGCCTGTGAGAAATGCGGGTCCGAGCAGCAGCACTCGCCGTCCTGTGCCAGATCACATTCTCTCTCTTTCGCTGTTGCTATTTTCTGAGCTGCTCCTTACTTTCGAGTGCGTGTGCTTAGTGTTGTTTCCTCTCTGACATCCCTCCAGCACCTTCCCCAGGCAGTGACCGCAGCGTGGTTCAGCACGAAGCGGTTTGCATGGCTGTCTGCTGTGCTCCAGGAGGTGGGATGCAGATTCCCAACCTCAGGCCAGCAGAGGAACACACTTGTGATCAGTCCTGGAAAGGCCATGGACTTTGCTTTCCTGAATGAGCAAGGGGTGGAAAAATCTCTTTTGGAGATGACTGGCTAGCAGGTATCTTCTCTGAAACATTTTGTCGGTGCTAGGATTTTATAATGGTAGTAAATATGTGGTAAGATGTCTTAGGCATGATATAAGTGTCTTCTGCCCCCACCCTCCTTTAGAATACCTTTCAGCTTTAAAAAGTTTTATTGACTTAATTGCACTTGTCCAGAGCTGGTGCGTTCAACGCAGGCACATGTTCTGCTGGCTCAGCACAGAAGCAGGTGCTTACCACCTCTCAAGAGTTAATCTTTTATCAGCAAAACTCCACTGTGCAAATTACTTTCAGAGATGAAAACAAACATTTTGTAGTGACTTAGTGAGAACAGTAAATATTGACATATGCTATCTCCCTGTCTCTGCAGAAAATCTTAAAACGTATTTAATTTTCCCTGTTCTTTGCAAGGACTCTGTACCTTTATACAGCAAAGTTTCCTTTAACAAGACGATCAGTTCATTTAGTTTTAAGCATCAAGATACATGATGCGGTTGAAAGTTTGTTATAATTGTGGAAGTAGATTAAATATCTAACAAAGTATTATTTCTTTTGCTTTTGTTGAAAAGCTTTCCCTCATCTAAAATTTCTGTAAATCATGAAATATGTGTTGCTACATTTACTTTAGATGTCCAATTGCTTATGATTAGCTGACATTTCTTACTTTGTA